ACAGTCCTGTTTACGGGGAATATCACGGTGATTCTCCTGGCCGTCGGGGCGGTGATCCTCGTGGTCGACGCAGTAATGAATATCGCCAGCGCAGTCCTCCTGGCCGCAGACGCCGTTCTCCCTCCCCTGCTCGCAAGGATCCTGCTCTGCCCCCTCCTGGGCCTAAATTCATGGAGTGGGATTACTCTATTGGTCAGGGCAACATCAAAGGTTTGTTTCCATTATGTTCCTTCTTGCGCTCGATCGGGCCATGCTAATTGTTGCCTGCGTAGTCTTGAGTCGAACCCTCTTCGTGGGCGGTGTCACGTAAGTCCTCGTCAATATTATTTTTGCAGATTCTTGGCATTGAAAGCTTACCAGTCAATAGCTCATCCGAAGCTCACCTTCGTTCTTTGTTCAGCAAGTTTGGTGTGGTTCAGACTTGCATTGTCAACATTGATAAGCGCCATGCTTTCATAAAAATGATAAGTCGCCAAGATGCTGTGAATGCCCGGGATGGAATGGAATCATACAAGTCTGGTGACATGCAACTCAGAGTAAGTGCTCTCATTGTTCTACAAGTGACCTGGCGTTTCCTGGCATGTCCACTAATCATCGTTTCTCAGACTCGCTGGGGTGTCGGATTCGGACCCCGTGACTGCAGCGATTATCAGACCGGCATTAGTGTGATTCCCGTCGACCGACTAACCGAGGCGGATCGCAAATGGATGCTCACCGCAGAATATGGTGGCACAGGTGGGAGGCCAATTGAGTCTGGCATGGTCGTAGAGGAGCCGGACATTGAAATCGGTGCTGGCGTTTCCTCCAAGGGTATGTCCCTACTACCTTCCGCATTACTCCCCTTCTGATCTTGACTAACCTCCCCGATAGCGATCAGCAGAAGAATTGCCACTGATACTGGCGGCAAACGCGGCCCAGTCTCCTCCCGCGGGCAGCAGGATCGATTCCGACGTCCAGACCGTGAAGGACCTCCAGCTGGAATGGGTGCTGGCCCTATTCCAGACCGAGATGTCAACAATGCTAACAATGTCGGCGTTCCTCCTGCGGTGCCTGGCTTCGGTTTCTCCTTCCCCACGATGGGCATGTTCCCGCCTGGTTTCATGATGGGAGGACCACAAGCTGGACCGTCCGGTGGTGGCTCAGCACAACCTCCCCCTCCAGGTCAATGAGGCAATCAATTCTCTTGCACAATGTCGAGAAGAATGGCGGTGACTGCAGTCATGATGACATATTTTCTGCCGGCCGTTTCATTCCACTCTTGTTTTGATACCAGTGCTTTTTTCACCTGTTTTCCATATTCCATCTTCACTTGGCTTTGTCTTGTACAATTAAAACTCGGCGTAGGAGCCTTTTCCATTTCGTTCATCAAAATCGGGGGCTGAAACCACTTCCACTTGTCTCATGGGTCTCATGGAGAAATTGTTGAGACCAGCCATCCATAATCTGAGATATCACACTCGATTGGTTCCTGTATCTCAAATGCAGAGCCTCACCAATCCACAGAGCTTCTAATGGGAATTGAACCCTCGCTGTCACTATAGCATCTTCTAGGCTTCACCCTCAGCTTCTGTCATTGTGATTCTATGTTCCCGACTGTTTCTCGCATTTTCTTGTTGTTGTCGTATTCATCTGGATCAGACGGTTGGGGTTTGGTGGTTATTGTGTGCCTCGCACTATTTCTGTTCTGTTCTTGACTTACATTTTTTTCTCCATCAGCACCATCTTCTTCTCTTTCTTCCCCTTCTTCGTCATGCGAATGCTTATTCTTCTGGACTAGGCCTACATAATTGGATCATTGATTCATTCATAAGGCATCGTGCAGAATCAAGCTCATACATCTGCTCATTACGTAGCAAGCAGCAATAGCTAAACTACAAGGTCTCATGCTCCTAGGAGCCGACACGCGTGCCTTGCCACTTCCCCATACATGAAAATGTTCAATTGAGCAACTAAATTGGGGTCTCATAATAGTCACATGATGCGCTCGAGAGCTTTGAGCCGCAAAGACATCAACACGGTGCCATTTGAGCTGATCCAAAGCCAGTATCCCTCCCAGTAGATAGCCTTCTCCCCTTGCTAGTTCATCGAAGTCACGTCGAGCAAGATGCCCTCGCTCACAGCGCACTCGCAGCCTTGAAAGACTGCTCAAAATCGGCGATGATGTCGTCAATGTGCTCCGTACCAACAGAAATTCGGATGGCGTCTTCCGTGACCCCAGAGTCAATCCGCTCCTGCTCAGTAAGCTGTTCGTGAGTTGTCGACCAGGGATGAATAGCGAGGGTTTTTGAGTCCCCAACACTAAAAACACTTTATCAGCCTAAGCTCTCTTTGCAGGCCCAAGGACACGAAGGACTTACTTTGCAAGGTTAGATATCAACTTGAAGCCGTCAACCACCTGAATACCAGCCGCAGCACCCCCCTTGACACCGAATGAAAGAACACCGCCGAATCCTCGGGACAGGTAACGTTTGGCAATCTCATGGCTAGGGTGGTCTTCGAGGCCCGGATAAGAGACCCAGCTTACGTTTTCGTTCTTTTTAAGCCATTTAGCCAGAGTGGTGGCATTGGTTGCATGCCTTTCGCTACGCAAGCTGAGGGTTTCAATCCCAAGGAGAAGCTGCTGCGCAGCGAACGGATTCAGGGTTGGGCCAAGATCACGGAGGATTTCCACCCGCACACGAATGGCAAAAGCAATGTTGCCAAAAGTCTCCCAGAACTTCAGGCCATGGTAGCCTTCGGAAGGCTCCACAAACTGAGGGAACCGCGCAGCATGCTTGCCCCAGTCAAACTTACCACTGTCAACAACAACACCTGCAATAGTAGTACCGTGACCACCAATCCACTTAGTGGCACTGTGTACAACAATATCTGCGCCGTGCTCAATAGGACGACAGTAATAACCGCCAGCACCGAAAGTGTTGTCCACCTACACCTCCTCTGTTATCATAATGAATTCAATATCTTGGCTTGAGGTGACCCTTACCACTAGCGGAACGCCCTTCTCATGGGCTACTTTCGCAATAGCTTCAAAGTCTGGTACATTGTAGCGTGGGTTGCCGATGGTTTCAACATAAACAGCCTTGGTCCGATCATCGATGGCTGCAGCAATTGCCGCCGGGGTGTCCCCTTGGATGAATTTGGTATGGATGCCTAGGCGTGGAAAGAGGACTTTGAACTGATTGTACGTGCCACCATACAAATTGCTGGTTGCTACAATGTTATCACCTGCATGGGCAAGGGCTGCAATAGTCATGAATTGTGCTGCCTGACCAGATGCGGCCGCCACGGCTGCAACGCCACCTTCAAGAGCTGCAATTCGCTTCTCGAAGACATCAACCGTAGGCTGAGAAGGGCGGCGTAGCCATCAGTTAAGTCCTCTTCCGTTCCCAACGGCTTAGTGGGGAATCGAGTACTTACGTTCATTATCCGGCTATAGATGTTGCCAAGCTCCTTAAGACCAAATAGCCGGGCTCCATGTGCAGAATCATTGAACGAATATGACTGTCGAAGCTCTGTCAGGACTGAATTTAACAAGTAATGACACGCGGGCATAAGCAGCTCGACTCACCGTAGTCGCGTAAATCGGCACCGCACGAGCGTTGGTGGTAGGATCTGGCTCTTGACTAGCACATACACCATCAGTCTCGTTTCAAGTCCAATAGATTGTTGGTCTTGGATAGAAATGGAGTTTATATGGTACCCTGCATGGAGCTGGAGAGTCTCAAAGTGCGGACGCTTTGATTCTGACATAGTGACCGGGATATAATCTATTGTACAGTTCCGAAAATTTGTGAGAGGAAAAGGTAGTGTAGCCAACCTTGCAAAGATGAGGGGCTAGTAAAGTAATAGAGAATGTTCTCCTTGGTGAAATGATTATCATTAGCCTAGGTTCAACATCACCGATCGCCCAGATGGTATAGTTGAAGATAGCGATGGCGTGATCGGAATGGAGTACAGCAAGGCGGGGGAAACGAGAGGGGGAAACGAGATCGACCCATGTACAGTAGACTACAATGTGTCCTGGGTACAAAGAAGACTAAAGCCCCCTCTCGCATTGACAAGAAGTCTGGGAACCTTGAAGAAGGCACGATTACGAAACCCTCTTGAGGGATGGATGATGCGCGGAGGATAGCCATTTTTCAAGCTTCAAGATGAATTAATGTTGGTGATCCACAGCAGGACATAGGGGATAGCTGATACTATGTGATAATTTTTACCTTTACTTTGATCAAAACTAAACATTAAGTTTATCCAAGTATAAACCTGGGGTGTAAGGGTGTACTGTGCTGTGCTTTATATCAGAGACAATGTATAGTATATCAGATATGCTTTGTTACTATATAATATAGTATAGTTATACTAATTGACTACATATCGCTTGAATAACTTTAGGCAACCACATGCTATGGTGGCTGTTTTGAGGCTTGGATGGTCAACTGGTGTGGTCATGTGCCCAGCATATGTGGAAGGAAATGAGGTCATTGTCTGTTCAATCATGGTTGGATGGATTGTTTCTTGGCCCGCCTCCCTGTTCATTGCCGTCATTAAACCCCAATTTACCAACCCTTGTAGGCTCCGTCTTTTCATTTTCTTGTTCTTTTCGCTTATGTTTTCATTTTTAAATCTCATCTTTTTCCCCTTTACCATATTCTTTACTAGTCAGGGTCGACTGATCCAAGGCGATGATGATGACGATGATGTCAATGCGGTAAGGAGATCTGCTACTCACAATCCCCACCGCCCTCTAAAGAAGAAAAGAAAAAATAAGAAGAAACACGTAGGACTGCAGGCTCCAGGGATTCAGGTGTATATAGCAGACAAGTAGCCATGAAAGTACCTTTCGAGTGCATCACAGCACCAACACCCAATCCAAGTGCTTCTTGGCGGACCTGGCCGATGATTTGCTCCATAATTTATATTTAGTTGTCAAGCCACTTGTGCAACCGCTCTGATTTGGAACCACTCTATCTGCATACAAAAACTCCCCTCATCGTCTGCTACCTTTCTTATCCATCAGCATAACTGCATCGACCCCCAGCTGTGTCTACTAGCGCTTGCTATATCAGACCAGTGGCTATAATACACAAGCACACGCGATATATCTTCACAAGACGCTGACCCTAGACAACTTCACGCACCAAGCAACTTGACAGATAAACTATCCAACATCGACCATGGCGGCAAATGTCCCTTGGATTCTACCTGTTCGAGTCGCTCAAGTCATTTTTGCTATCATCGTTCTTGGGTTAACAGCATACTGTTGGTTCATCTCCACCTCATAGCATTTGTTCGTCTCTAATGGGTAACAGACATCAGTTGGTATAGCTACAGTGACACCGTGAATTTCATGCTTTTCAACGGTATATGGACAGCTTTCGTGGCCGCACCTTACCTTGCCTTCGCACCAATGTACTTTCCACGGGTCGCCCATATACTAATCATGGTGGCTGTCGAAGCAGTCACCATGATCTTCTGGTTCGCAGGGTTCATCGCCCTGGGTGTCTACCTGCCAACATCAGAATTTTGTCACTGGAGTAGATGTCGGGCACTGCAGGCTGCAACCGTGTTTGGGGCATTTGAATGGTAGGTGGGCATCGTTCTCCACGACTGCGATACCACGGACGAGGGTCGAATAAGAAATTGATGGAACCTGCTCACAATCGCTTTCTTTAGGGCACTCTTCGTCGCCACCACTGTAGTAGCTACGCGCGAGGCAATGCGATCAAGATCCAACAGTGCGAGTACGAAGCCTGGCCCGTATGCTTCTGGCCATGTCCATGTGTGAACAACGAAAGCGGGGATCCATCAATCCACGTCTTAGCGAGGGCCTCATTTGTGACTCGCCAAGACTATTGATGCCACCCAGATACTACGCACGGGACGATTGATGACGATATGAATTATAGTGCTCATAGATGAGAAGGGGAAGAAATAATGAGTTAAGGGCAGCTACGTGGCGTTCATGTGCTGGGATTTGTATATCAAACTAAGTAGCAAGATACCCGATACCCATGTCTTAAATTGAAGTCTTATCATTTCGGCCTTGACTCGTGTATGAATTCGTGGTTATGGCAAGACCCACAAGCATGTTTCCAATGATACTGATTTTGCAATTGACATAACTCAAGTTACACATACATAGTTTAGTCATAGCCTGGATGTGGATTTGAGCTTCGTCGTATCAATCGGTCTCGTAGCAAAGGCAGATTAGGGCTGTTTATCCGCCAAAGTATGCACGTTTAACTACGTTGAAGTGGATTATCAATCCAGTCTTGACGATGACCCACTGAGGGGGAAAGTTTAAAACCGTCTCTATTATCTAGATATAATATGTACTGTAGTTGATGCATGTCAGATATAGGAAGCCTCTTCCGGAAGTGACAGTGTGATCATGACCTGCAACCACGGAGGCGCAATCTGAGGGATAAGTCTTTGGATTGGCAAGGAGGCGTCGCGGATCTTAAAGGAGATGGGCATGGAAGATGAACCATCAGGCTCAACGAGGCACGTATCCAAAGGTGGGAGTGCCTGTGAGGGCAAATGACTACAGCGGAGAAACCTACACGAAGTTGAATCTACATATGTAGTACATATATATGTACTGTGTAGTAGTACTCGGTAAGTTACAACATGAGTATGTCTCCAGTACACCTGGTTTTGTGCTAAGCAAGCTTTCTGTATTATAGTTATTCCGCACTACGTACAACATAGACTTATCACTCGTACCCTAATTTATCCCTTATCATGTTTTTATAAATAATGATCACTCTACTAGGCAACCAAGTGAAGACCAAGCAAAAGTTCCCATAGGGCTGGCTGGGCTGGGCGCTGCCGACCATGCATAGGTCCGCTCTCGGCGATTGCTGGTACGTACTGTACTTACTGTACACAGTATAAGTGAGCCTAAGTATGTAAGGCGGTAAGAGCCAAAGGTCCTCCGTCACTTCTCCGTTCTCCGTTCTCCGTCCTTTCCGTCCGCGGGTACTCAACACATCATGCAACAGCTGCGTCTCTTGACTTGGTCTGTCTTTCATCGATTGCAACCCAGATGGTCTTTACACCTTCTGATACGTTTCTTGAAGCAAGCGTCCTGATATCGACTCTCAAAGCGGTCGGACATTTAACTATGTACTGTATGAGTAACACTTATTGAGTTCTCTCTGTCTTGCAGCCCTTTTCCCACCTTTCCCGCGCGCTCCCTCGGGCCGATGACGGAAAAAGCCAGTGGCAACGCTGCAAGCAGCCGGTAAGCTTTACGAGAGAAAAAGAAGAAACAAAAACTCCGTCTCCAGCTGGCGATTATCTTTTCTTGGGCCCACTACAGTGGAGCGGCATAGTTGCCGAGATAGGGTTTCCATTCGTTGCCTGGGCACAGCCAGCGGTGCTCTATAGGACCATCAACCATGGATGGGGAAGCTGGAGGATGCTTTAGTGCGGTAAAGTGGCACCTCTTTTCCACGCTTGGCGCCTCTTTCCCTCGTGCCTCTTCCAGTCCCAGTCGACCACTCCTGCATTCTGCGCCCAAGTTCTAGACAGACGCAAAAAGCTTCCCCGGGTGTTGGTGGTGGCCAAGGACTGTCCAAGACCTCCAAGATGGATTTTCTCGGGGTAAGCCCAGGTCGAATGGTCGACGCAACGAATTGACTACATACCCATGTGGTCGTTTCTATTAGTGATACGTGCCTGTCATTGCCTCCTCTCATCGTGCAGACTGCAGGCGGTGGCGGGAGACTCACCTCTTTTGCCCCCGGGGTTGTATCCGCTGCTGGACAACCCTAACCTTTTCCTTTTACATAACATCTTCTGGTTCCGCGAAACACAATTCGATTATGTTCGCTATCTCGGCCAAAGTCGTCAATACGTACCTGGTCTCTGGCTGATTGGGGCCCTGAGGGGTTGTTTTGATTTCATCTTAGCGTCTGTGGACTTTCTTCGGTGTGGTCCGACAACTGAGGAGCCCACCGTTAAAATCTGCTGGATCGACCCAGCCTTGAATTGACTCAATCAAATCAAACCTGTCCTCCCCCCGGTGGAGTCTGTTTCGGTGGCCGCCAGTTCATTTTTCTCCTCTTCTTCCCCTGCCAAATCCAAACCTAGTCTCATTTTTGCCTTTCGCGTTGTCTTCTCTACTCATCTGACCGACTGACAACCTCGCCGGCCTGCCCACCACCAAGCAAGGCACGAGCAAATTTCCACTACCCGGACCGTCGAGGGGTCGAACATGGCCTTCGGGAACGAGGTAGACATCACGTCCAAGTCCGCCGAAGGGGGGAAGGGAAAAATGATGCCTGGCGAGGAACAGGTCCAAGTTCACACAACGAACCCTTCGCCGGACCTGAATGACTTCGATTGCGAGAAGCATGGCGCCAACAGCGAGTCCAACCCGTTGCCCCAGCTCAAGCGGAAGCTGAGAAGTCGGCATTTGCAGATGATCGCTATCGGTTAGTGAACTTTGTTGGTTCTTTCCCCGAACCTTGGAATCATCTTGCCTCTTTCCTCCCTGCGCAGCATACATGCCGCCCACGAGAGAAGTGCTTAAGCATAGACTAACCCCAGCTCTAGGAGGCACCATCGGCACAGGTCTCTTCATCGGTAGTGGTACTGCTGTTGCCAATGGCGGGCCCGTGGGCGCCCTCATCGCTTATGCCTTCGTCGGAACCATCGTCTATTCGGTCATGACGTCTCTGGGAGAAATTGCAACCTACATTCCCATTCCTGGCGCCTTTACAGCTTATGCTGCTCGCTTGGTCGACCCCAGTCTCGGCTTCGCTATGGGTTGGATTTATTGGTTTTCGTGGGCCTCGACATACGCGCTTGAACTCACAGCCACAGGGCTTATAATCCAATTTTGGGACGATCGCATCAATATCGCTATCTTCATCGCCATCTTCTGGGTCGTCATCACGCTTCTCAATTGTCTGCCTGTCAGCTTCTATGGCGAATTGGAATTCTGGCTTTCGAGTGTCAAAATCATCACAGTCGTCGGCTTCATGATCTTTGCGATTTGCATCGATGCTGGCGCTGGAAAGGAGGGCTATCTAGGCTTCCATTACTGGGTGCATCCCGGACCGTTCTCCCCCTATAGTGGTGTTTCACCCGAGTCAACCGCTAAGTTTGTTGGCTTTTGGTCCGTACTCATTCAGGCCGGGTTTGCCTATCAGGGAACGGAATTGGTAGGTATTGCAGCCGCGGAAACCGAAAATCCCCGCGTAACGGTCCCCGCAGCCATCCGCAAAACTTTCTATCGGATCCTATTTTTCTTCGTTCTCACTATCTTCTTTATTGGTATTCTCGTACCATATACGAACGACGATCTTCTCACAGATGGGAGTGATGCCAACTCTTCGCCATTCGTCATTGCCGCCAAGCTTGCGGGTGTTCGTGTGCTGCCACATATCATCAACGCAGTCTTGCTGACCGTGGTTCTTTCGGCTGCCAATTCGAATGTTTACAGTGGTAGCCGTATTCTGATCGGCCTGGCGCAAGAAGGATTTGCTCCTCGTTGGTTCAAGAAGACCTCGAAAAAAGGTGTACCTTTTTTTAGCGTGTTCTTCACCTCTGCTTTCGGTCTGCTTGGATTCATGAACGTTTCCAATTCTGGCAGTACTGTCTTCAATTGGTTGGTCAACATCGCTGGTGTGGCCGGCTTCATCACCTGGGCCTCGCTTAACGGCTGTCATCTGGCTTTCATGCGTGCCCTGAAGGCTCGTAACATCTCTCGCGATTGCCTACCGTACAAGGCCTTGTGGCAGCCGTACTATTCCTGGTATGGTCTGTTCTTCAATGTTCTTATTATCATCACTCAGGGCTTCACCGCGTGGATTCCCTCCTTCGATGTCACGAGCTTCTTCACCGCTTATATCAGTTTGATTCTTTTCGCGGTGCTCTACATCGGCCACAAAATCGTTTACCGGACGTCTTTCGTCCACCCGCTTGAGGCTGATATTGATACGGGCCGGTTGGAATTGGAGAATGAGACGTGGGAGACATCTGTGCCGACATCCAGCAAATGGTACAAGAAGGCTTTCCATGCAGTCCTTGGATAATCCCGGGCCCGGACTAGCTCGTTGACTAGGAGTTTTTGTTTTGAGCACAGGCGCCCTCTTGATTGCGTTCTCGTCGGTCGTGGAATTCCTAAGACTGATCTCTTTTCTTCTTTGCCTATTAATTGAGCCCGGCACATACATACTGGAAAGTTCATGCACATATAAAATCATCTGGGGTTTCGATTGCATTGGGGTGAAAGGCGGGTTTCTTCGCTCTATGATGGACGAGGGTTGAAAAAAGCCATAGAGGAGCCTCAAGTGCTTGCCCTCGGGGCTTGCTGCAAGCCTATTTGTACAACATATATATTCTGTTTGGAGGGGATGTCAGCATTGGCATGGCGTTCGGTGCGAGACTTTGCTCATTAATCTATTACTTTCCTAATGTATCATGTTTATGACTTCCGCCTACGCTGTGTTATCTCTCGGGTATTAAGTCAAGCTCACTTAGGAATAGCGTTCTGCCCCTGTGGGTATCTCCGGATTGACTACCCAGGTACTCCGTAGTGAGTACCAATAGCCTGCATATGTGCGTGCATTTGAATTTCCCCGCGACTGGTTAAGATCTGCGCCCGTGATGCATATACACCATCGATCTTCGTTGATTCACATGAAGGTCCACGTGCCTCGATAACGGACAGAAGAGCAGGCTTCGTACCCGAAGTAAGTTCCACCTGACATCTATTACTTTGCCTATTGGGCGGTGTGGTGGCATTGACCAGAAAGCATGTGAGGGCGAATGACTCAAGCGCGTCAACATCTCATCGGACGGCGAGTTGCACAACCTACTAGTCGACGGAGTCCGGAGTTTATACCTAGTCCTTTGGAAAGTGAGACATATTATACTCAGTACGTGAATGTAGCAGCAGCCAGACAATCAACCTGTTTCTTCTCCTGCTCTTCTCCTATCTGTTTTCTCATAAATTGTGAGCATGCGCAATGGCAGACAGAAGCGGAAGAAACCTCATAGGAACTCTTATTGCAGCAGAATCCCGAGGTAAATCAATTTGAGTACGAAAACGAGTCTTATAGTATGGTTATGAACCAGTTCACCGTCGACGGATGCAAAAGTCAGTCAAAATGGAAATGGCCCCGGCCGGCGCAATGGATGGCCGAAAAGAGTAAGTGCCGAGGCAGTACCAGCACCTGCTCTGCAATTTGACATCGCGTGGGGGAAGAAGCCGGGCCGACCAGTTAGAACTCGTGCTTTCGGTCTGAATTCCGGAGAAACCGCCAACCTTGAACTGAGTGGAGGATCTGACCCCGAACCCTCCTCTCCTGGGGCAAATGAAAGTGAATGAATGAGGGAGGCATTCCTTCAATCCCTCTTCCTCCGGCTCTCTTTCTTTCTCTCCGGTTTTTCTTTTCCCACCCCTCCCACCTTATCTATCCACCCGCCTGGTTGTCCTTCAGTCCGTTTCTCAGCCTCTTGGTCACTTCCACTCCCCCGCTTCGTTCTGTCATCTACTTCCTTGACGAGCATTCTCCCTCCCCTAAGGGTTCTTGTTAACGCAAAGTACCCGACTTCTTTACTGTTAGGTTGAGGGGCTCTTGAGCTTGAGGTACCTTTCTCCGAGACTCAGGAGACCACCTGTGGAGCTGTTTACTAACTCGATCGCAATCGAGCAGTCACGCTCCTCATCGCAATGTTCTTCTCCCAGCTACCGACTCATCTCCAGCGCGCTACCGAGCTACAGCAGGAGCCCCCTAAAGGCAAACCTTACGGCGTTGCTTTACCGGGCACCGAAAAACCAGGGCGCTCTCCCGTCTACCGGACCTGGAACTCAGCCAAAGAACTAGTGAAAACACTAGATCCTAACGTATGCTCGTTCGCGGACCCAATGAGATGAGAACTACGTTGGAATTGTTATTGACTGGCTTCGATTCTCTCAGGTCGCTACTGCGCATGACATATTTGAGTCGACCGCCAGTAGGGTGCCCAAGAGTGACTGCTTGGGATGGCGCCTATATGATCCGATAGCTAAGGCCTACGGCCCATACCAGTGGATGGACTACGAAACGGTCCAGAGGCGACGTACAGCTTTTGGTGCTGGTCTAGTCGAGCTACATCAGAAACATGGCTGCGATCGCCCTGGCCAGTATGGAATTGGCTTATGGTCCCAGAACCGCCCAGAGTGGCAACTGACTGGTATGGGGCACACCGTCAAATATGGGTAGAGCATAATTCCTGATTCTCGTGTCTATAGACCTTGCCTGCATGTCTCAAAGCCTGTACTCGGTCTCCATTTACGACGTTCTCGCGGCAGACGCTACGGAGTACATCATCAACCACGCCGAGTTGCACTGTGTTGTGACTTCTTTGCCTCATATCCCTACTCTGCTGAAATTAAAGCCATTGTTGCCCGGCCTGAAAATCATTGTCAGCATGGATCCTCTGGAGACTGGGGAACCCGCCGGCCTTTCGAAGCGCGCGCTCCTCGAATCGATTGCGGCTGGGCTGGAGGTTTCCATTTACACCATCGAGGAGGTGGAAGAGCTTGGGATGTTTTCGAAACGTACCTGCAATCCCCCAGGCCCATCTGACATAGTTACCATAAATTATACGTCCGGCACCACAGGGAATCCCAAAGGGGTGGTCCTGACCCATGAGAATACTGTCGCGGCAACTTCAAGCGGCCTCGTAGTAACCACGCAGGTACCCGGTGATACTCTGGCATCCTATCTTCCACTAGCACATATTTATGCACGACTGTCGGAGCATGCAGCATTCTGGGCGGGGGCTCGAATTGGCTACTTCCATGGCAATATGCTGGAACTTGTCGATGACTTGAAAGTCCTCAAGCCTACTGGATTCATGTCGGTCCCAAGACTGTTCAGTCGCTTCGGAAATGTCATTCGCTCGGCTACTGTGGACCAGCCCGGGTTCAAGGGAGCTTTGTCGAGACACGTTGTTGCGGCGAAGACAGCGAACCTGGAGAATCCCGATGCTAGCAAAGCCACAATAAAGCATACGGTATATGATCGCATCTGGTCGAAAAAGGTTTCCGCGGCGCTTGGTCTGGAGCGCACTAGGGTGATGGTCTCTGGTTCTGCGCCTCTGGACCCGACCCTCCACCAGTTTTTGAGACTGGCTACTGGTACCGATATAATCCAAGGTTACGGGTTGACCGAAACATACGCCATTGCATGCGCTCAATCCCCGCGAGATCTGACTGCCGGAAATTGTGGGCGACTTGCTCCATGCAACGAGGCCTGCTTGGTCTCTCTTCCGGACATGGACTACTCGGTCGATGATAAGCCTTTCCCACGGGGTGAACTGCTCTTACGTGGAGGGAACATCTTCCGTGAGTATTATAAGAATCCAGAAGAAACGGCCAATGCGATGACTGAAGACGGATGGTTCCGGACCGGCGACGTCTGCACCATCGATGATATGGGCCGAATCATAATCATTGATCGTCGCAAGAATGTCTTGAAGCTGGCGCAAGGAGAATACATTTCCCCTGAGCGTTTAGAGGGCGTTTACCTGTCTGAGCTGGGTTACTTGGCACAGGGCTATGTCCATGGTGATAGTGTACAGAGTTTCTTGGTGGGTATCTTTGGCGTGCAGCCTGAATCATATGCACCGTGGGCCAGCAAAGTGCTCCGCCGAAGCATTGAAGTCACGGACATTGACGGCATCAAATCGACTTTGGATGAACCTCAGATACGTCGCGCGGTGCTGCGGGATCTTGATCGCGTTGCAAAGAAACACAAACTTGCTGGCTACGAGAAAATCAAGAACTGCGCGCTGATGCTGGACCCTTTTACAGTCGAGAACAATCTATTGACTCCGACGTGAGTGGAACTCCCTTCCGTTTACCTCCTGCGCAAGTCTGACCAGATAATTAAACCCAATAGTTTGAAGCTGAAGCGTCCCCCGGCTGTGAAGAAGTATCGCCAAATCCTGGACGACCTATATACGAGGGCGTTGGCTGAGGAAGCCGCTCCGAAAGCCAAGCTCTAGGAGACACTGACCTCGATAATATGTTTGTGCTAAAATCCAGGAGAGCATGCTAGCCAGTTAAACTGCCGGAGCCGCCTTGTAGATATTTTCCCTGTGACTTTTCTCTTTTTCCGTGATTTAGCACTTAAGTGATTTTGGGATTCAAGGCTGAGCTTTTGAGCATGGTCAAAGGGCTGTTCAACCCTGGGTTTCTTTCTTTTGTGTTGGGGGTGGATAAAGTACTGTACAGTACTGTACTGGAGTTACTACATAGATAAGGCAGTCACGATTCTTAACACCGGAGATTTGAAGGTTGCGAACAAGAAAACATACGATTGTCTAGGAGACTGAACTTGGGTTGGGCCATGCTTAGAAATGAAATAGATAGGCATCACTAGTATAGTGAAGAGTGAAGTTAGTTCGCCTCATGATGAGCTTTGAGTTACAGCACATCTAAATGAGTACTCGGTGGTAGGCCTGAATGACTGCTTGGCGCTGGAGCTTCTTGATGCGTAACGTTACTGTACGATACTCATCATCTGCAACTCACCGGTTCGACCCCCAACTTCTTTAATCAATCCAACCAGTCCTTTCGAACTATCAACCAGCGACTGCTGCCTACCATGCGTTCGTCCAGCAGCTCCCTTGTGGGACTCGTTCTTCTCCTGCTGTCTACACCAATGCTGGTATATTCAGCCTTCACGATCACCATTCCATCATCCAGTCTGCTCCCCAATCCCCACGCTCTCCCCGCTGGAACCCATGCGACGTTGACCACGCTTCCCTCATCGCCCTCGTCGCCCTCGCAGTTGACTGCGTCCCTCACTCGCTCTGCGACATTCGTCTTCGCCAATATCCCTGCCCATTCGAAGCCTCAATCCTATATTCTCGACATCCGCTCGCCGGATGTCATCTTCGCCCCGTACCGCGTGGACATTGCCGCTGATGGAAGCGTTCTCGGCATCTGGGAGACCTTCCGCGCGAACCCCTGGGATAATAGAGGCCCGGAGAAGTACATCCTCGATGTCACTACTGCCGCTGGGCAAGATGGAGCTGTCTCTGCTGCAACCACGCCCGATGTGACTGTCGAGGCCCGAGTCCTTGCCCGGAGAAACTTCTACGAGGAACGCCCAAGGTGTATGTTCTATGTGAACAACGACACATTGGCTTGGACCATATGGAATAGCTGATCGTTCGTCCTAATCAATTAGTCTCGCCCTTGGCGCTGTTCAAGAATCCTATGATCCTACTAGCTTTGGTCGCTTTGGGATTTACATTTGGCATGCCGAAGTTGATGGAAAACAGTGAGTTGCCTCTCTCTCTCTCTTCACCCGAAGCATTTTCTTTCCTTTTGGATCACTTTTATCCTATTTTTGGTTCAACCATGACCTGTTTTGCCCATGTTAATGCTTCCGTGTACTCTTGCGCTCTAGTGGACCCCGAGATGCGTGCCGAATTCGAGAAACAATCTCGCTCCTCCCCGATTACGGGTGCCACACGCAGCGCCATGGCCGGCGGCGGAGCGCCCGGCAATTTCGACTTGGCAGGATGGATGGCTGGAGCCACTCCCAGGCCCGCGCCCGGTGCTGACGAAGTTGCTGCGTCGGGCAGAGATAGCGGGGGTGCTTCTCGGAGAAGAGGATAGGCATGCAGGCCCTGCGGCGTCGGAATGACAACGCAGCGCGGGAAGTTTGGATGCTCGCCAACCTTCATTCCTGTGCTCGTACAGGAGGTAGAAAGCGCGACGTATAACATTAGAGCGAGCTTAATCAAGCGAACCTTGTCTGCTTATAATCCCCCTTTACCTCGCTTTACCTACACCTAACGATGGCATAGGCTTGCCACGCTTCACGAGCCATCTTGCCTCGCGCCCGGGAAAGAAGCTCATATAGAAGGAAGTTTATTTCATGCGAGGATTCAGATCTAGCGTTTGAATTTGATCTAACATAAAACAATGATTCAAGTCTAGCTATTTTGACATTGACGGAAAACCTCTTTGAAAGGGAGGTACTGATATGGAGATACTGATATAGCTTCCAACAAAAAATCACAGAATTCGCCTAGACGAGCAGACAGTTTGGGTTAACTCACTCCTCATGGAGCTAGGAATGTTGGATCGGATCCGTTGGCTGCCCGCATGGCAGATTGAATTTATTGTATGCTCTGGTCTGAAGTACAGTAGATTTCTACCCAAAGTATCCCCGAGGTGGGTTTGTAGGCGAGCTGTGGATAATACATCATGTCAACAGTTACGTGCGGGCCAGTGACGGTAGGAGCGGCCGTTGCGCTAAACCACACAATTCTAAGAGACACGAGCGACAAACCGTATACATCATCATCATGACACATAAGCTATTCATAAGGGCACCTCGCGCAGCCAGGGTTCGCACATAAAATATCAGAACAGAGATGGGCTGAAAATAAAGGGCGACGCTTTAGAAGTCACCGCCAAAGTCATCACCACCGCCAAAGTCACCCCCATAATCATCCCCATAATCACCTGGGGGAGGACCGTAATCGTGCGACATGTCTTCCACAGCATCAGCGAGCAGCATGCCACCCAGAAGTCCACCTCCAACACCTAAAGCTGCAGCACCCGCGGTGCCCATCCCATGCCGGCGCTGTTGCGGCTGTTGTTGGGTTGGGTAAAAGCCACCCTGTGGTGGATATGATGGGTAACCATACCCTGTCTGTTGCGGAGCATAACCAGCGCCACCACCGTAGTAGTACCCGCCTTGAGGGTAGCCATATGACTGTTGCGGTACGGGTTGCTGCGGCCGAGGGGATGACGCGCCGCTATTACCGGCGACTTTTCCTTTCAACTTGCTGAAAAACCCTTTGCTGCGCTGCTGAGCCGGTCCAGGAGAAGAGTTCTGCGATTGTGGTTCCAATGACGGATATCCAGCAGTTTGTCTCCGAGAACCATCGGTGTAGTAGTCAGATGCAGCACCGCCCGAGCTCGCCGGGCTCCTGCGACGAGCTCGAGCATTCTCCTCTGCCTGTAGCTGAGCAGCAAGCCGAGCATCGTCATCTAAATTATGGTGCCCGGATTCTGGTGAAATGTATGGGTTCCTCGAATCAAGAGGTTTCTTGTCACCTGCAGCAGCCAGTGAAGAGGAGTCAGCAGGACCCGACGCATCGTAAGACGGTGGCGGCTCGCTCGGTGGTCCATGTATTTCTGGTTCTGCTTGGTTCGGTCCTTCGGGACGTTCCCATTGTGATCGACCAGTTCGTAGGTTTACGAAGAACCTGAGGTCGTTATCAGTCTTGCTCGATCCATATTGCATTCGATGATTGGGTGATATGCATACCACTGATTATAGCGGTCATCATACTGAGCCTTCCATCCTTCAGGGACAGAAGGGGTTGGAGGGCCAGGCGGCGGGGCAAACGACATGAATAATATAGATGGCAACTTATAACTAGTAAGCTTAGTACTTACTTATGGTTTCAACAAGACAGTAGTTAGTTATCAGAAAGAAACAGAAAAAAAAATCAAATCTCATCTGAAATCAAACCAGACGGAGGAGTAATTCCGGCTTAAGATTGAACAGAGGCCATAGGTGTCGTAGATGCAGACGATGGGGTGCATTATATACAGCGAGCAGTAGTTGTTTTCGATGTGGCGCTGCTCAGCCGCATGACGTCATTGTGGAAGATGGAGATTGGTATCACATGGGAAGAAAGTGTCTAGTAATCACTAATCATGTGGTTAACTGTGTACATACTGTCTTTGTATACTACTCTGTGAATAAGCAAGTTCGGCCAGACCATTGACTGACTAGTCAAATCAGTCAGGTTTAGATCCACCAATGACCAAGAGCTCATGCCACTCTACCATCTGATGCATAATTGAAACTTGCCCGTCAAAGACAACGTCTAGATCTATACCAAGAATCCCTTGCTGCATAGTGAGACAGGATTGTAAGGAATATCTAAGTGGAAAAGCTTCCCTAAGTTCGCTGTTGGCTGTCGTGACTGTCAGAATCCCTCCCACCCTTACCCAAAACAATACTGCTCGTAGTGATACAGCCATCCTCTACTTCGAAATCCCACGGCCCCTCTTCCGAATTGAAACCATAGCCTCGTACAAAACATCCTTAAAGCCAAATAAGAATGCCGCAGTAATTGCACTTTGCGTCACTTTTGGTCCAATTCCTGTTTCAATAATGTAAGCTGTCTTTCACCAAGCACTTCGTCAATTCGGGTTCACTTGCCGTTGTATAGGCCAGCATAACCTTCTTCCTGAATTATTCTCTTCAAGCTCCCATTCAAACTCTCCCGGGGCCCGTCTTTACTTGCAACATGCATGCGGCTCTTGACTGTGATGTAAGGATATGTGATCGAAGTAGCGAGTATTTTACCAAGGGCGCCCAAGTAGAACGCATCCTTGGGTGTCATCCGTCTGCGACGCTCGACGATGTTTTTCAATTGCTCAAAGATCGTATATTGCAAGATAGGGTTGACCACCAATACGAGAGCTGGCAGGACACCGGCGAAGAGGGCCTTTGGGCCCTCTCGGCGCAGCAAGTCCATCAGTGTAGCGATTGTCGTTGCTCGCTCCTTTCCAGGAAAAGCACCGGGCAATGACTCCTGATCCGAATCAGACTTGCGGGCTGTCATTCTGGTGTTTACCACCCAAATCGGATTGGTGATCATGACTGTGGCGATCCCTGCAATAGCACCGGCAATCATGGACTCAACGGTTGTGAGCTTTCTGGATGCTCTTCCTGCTTTTGCAGCTGCCTTTTCGAAGGCGGAACGTGTCCATTCATACCAATAATAGTAAACGAAATTGGTAACACTAATACCAAAAAGTGCCGACTCAAGTCCCGAATATAGTCCGGCAAACCCCTCTCTCCGGACGATGCGACGAACCGCGTCATAGATTGTCGAATGGGCCCGCTTGGATTCAACCTGGGCCCTTGTTGAGAGAGTGATGAGCGGGTAACTTGAAGGATAAACCAAGCGTTAATGAAGACCCAGTCGAGCAGGAAGCGTTACTCACGTCAACGCCATCGAGAGAATGCCGCCTCCCGCACCGGCCAAGGCATGCGCTATGTTATCGCTCTGTTGCATGGCAGCGGATACTGCCAACCCCTTCTTCTCCTCATGGATACTTGCTTGAGACATCGGCACGGACTCTTCACGCTGCGTCCAAAATTGATGCAAGATTAATATGATAGAAGGGAACTTGCTTGTGCTGAAAGTAATACATGCGTTGCAGTACTCACAAATATGATTGAGCGAGTTTGGAGGATGGGCTTTCTATTGTCCCAACTGAGAAAGTCAGGTCAAGGAAGGGCGCGCGTTGCAGGAAGGAGCGAAGCAAAAAGTCAAGACACAAACAATAAAAAGCTGCAGGATGTTGTTTATTAGAGACCTTATCGAGAGAAGGGTAAAAGGGGGGACCAGGTGAAAGGATCGAGTTTTGAGACACCGAGATATGTAGAAGGGCGAGAGAATGACTCGGCTCAGGAGGTAACAGCAACGATGCTCATGACGTTTGCCGAAATTTGGGCCTCGGCTGATGCCCCTCTCCCGCAGAATTCGGGGTTCAGTCGCGTGTTTACCAAAGGTACAGTGCCCAGTAGGATGTTGACCAGATTCTAGCGGCAAATGCTGACATGTACAGGACTAGAGCTAGTGCGATGAAAGGGTAAGTAGCTCACATCGGCACGCCTACCCCAGATATACATGTATGTACTGTATACCGCATAGTTAGTAGCCAGATAGAATGACATATCGGAGTCACGCTTGCTTACGTTGTTATCGTTATCGTGGATGAGGTCCGTTACAAATCTGGAGCGTACTGTACGGTACTTACATTGCAAGAGCCACTAAGCCCAGAAAAAAATTTCAGCCAAGTACTCATGAATTTACTTGCATTCGACGGTAGGTAACTTGGCTAACCAGTCAGGTGCAAAAACACGACTAGGAGGTAGTAGGTAAAGTCAGGTTGCCGACACCTTACTACGTAGCAATTCAATGCGGAGAAGCCAATTTCGCATGTGACATTCATTGCCTTCCTGCGGTAACCAATCAATCACTAAATGGGCTGCCGACCCCCCAGCCAGAGGCCACCCCACCTCCCCTTCCTTGCAGAGGTGGGTAAGGACTGTACTAGGTAGGTCCCTGTACGGAGTACTCAACTGTATATTAGCTGTCGCTCCTAAAAACCATCTATCAGCCTGGGATGGTAGTTAGCCACTTATTGATCTATTAACTGAGTAGAAAAGTCTAACTATACGGAAGGCAAAATAGTAGAGAAGGGATCAGGAGGAAGGGTGGGACCTGCAGTAATAAGAGCCCACTGATTCGACGCTTTTGCTTAAAGATTCATTGTCTTCTGAATTGACTAAATATTCGACCCCGAGCGAGTAAACAAGCCAAACAATCCAACTTACTAGAAGAAATATCAATCGAATGGAGATTTGTGGGAGAGACACTAGTAAGGAAGAGATAGAAACTCGAAAGGATTATGGGTGGAAACCAGCGTGGTGAAAGCAAGAAACAATGAACAAAGGAAGCGGATTGGGGGCAGGGCAGGGGAGACTGAAGAAAACTCAGCAAAAAGCAGGCGGGGATGAAAGTAGGTGCATCTGTGGTGTGACAGTGTATAAAGACGAAACGCAAGCCCTCTAA